TTTGGCAACAAGCTGCCAGAAAACAAGGTAACATTCCAACATGTCTACTTCTTTTTACATCTTTGTAAAAAAAAACGAAAATGAAAACAAACAAAAGCAAACAAACAAACAAACAAACAAACAAAAAAACCAAACCAAACCAGCTCTGTGAAATTTCCCAATTTTGATTGAAACTTTTGAATCTGTACCCTGGTAAGAGCCCTCTGTGTGAGTGCTCCTCAATACCTTTATTTTCTCTAAGCCTGTCAGACTTATCCAGAGTAAAGAATGGACTCAATAGCATCATGTCCTTTCTTAGCGTAAGGACACTCTCTTTTCAGATATTCCTTTTTGGGTCTGGGCATCAGCAAAGAGTTTTAGTGTTCACTAATTATGTGGATAATTGTGTTACAGGGTATTCCAAATTCTTAATGCTCTATATGTATTCCAACTACATTAGCCACAAAATACCGTTTTCTTAACCACTTAACTTCTACGTTCACACCCCATTTTTTTCACAGAGAATAGTATCTTCTATTCTCCTTCCAGTTTAACAGTGCTGAGAAGGCTGTTACACATAATGACATGGTCCCTCAAAAAACTGTATTTCTGCCCCAAAGCCTAACTTTTCATTCAGCAAGCTTCACAAGAGGTTTTGCATCCTTCAGAATGAATTCATTATTTCAAGACAACTCTGCATTATGGAAGTACATGAAATAAACATTTAAATCTCATATACAGTAGAAAGGGATTTGACAGTCTGTCTAAACAGCAAGATGTGGTTATTTTGTCTGTAAATACAGTATCACTACCCAAAAACCAGTATGCAGTATGCCACTCCAAAGGAGGAAAGAAGAAAAAAGTCAATCAGTATAAAATTGAGAACAGAAATTCTTCCCTAGAGAAGGCTGTCAGGTAGCTCGTCCCCAGTGTTTTTCCAAAAGCTACTGTTGTCTCACATTTAATAGTAGTATGGCTTATTTTAGCAAGACCACTTCTTACCGCCAGAATTAGCAACATTTGCTTAAAGAGAAGCAACATCTTCTACTTAAACAGAAACTCTGAGTTGGTAGTCATCAGGACTTCTTTGTTTGAAGACCTCAATTTTTTTTTCCACATGATGTGCAAACTCCTGGCAGCAGGTTTGGCTTCTAACTTCTTTATTTTTACCTTAAAAGCAGTCCACAGACCATGACCTGAAGACCACTCATCAAGGTATACTTTGCTAAGCGTGACTGGCATCAGTAAAGCAGAAGCTTCAAAAGCAGTTCCCCCAGAAGATTTGAAGACGAAGTACTTATGGCATACAAGCAGCAACAAGTAGGCAGAGGTGGGCCAATAGGTATAACCACTTCCTCCAGCCGTTCACACAATTCACACCTGTCTATACCCTAACTGTGAATATTAAATGAAAAATGCTTTTATTTTCTTCCTGATTAACAGCTCCAGTGACTTTAAAATATTATAGGATCTAGCTCCTCAAGCAAGGATGTAATAAAAGCCAATCAGGTGATGTTTAAACGTACTAGACCAGAAACAGAGTTCCAAGCATGTAAAAAAAGGAAACCTGGAAAGAATAGGGGAGAAGGAAAGGGAAAGTTGTCAAATTACTCACCGAGATCTCAACCTGGAATCTGGAAGAGGATCCAGATAAAACAGACCTTTTTACATGATAAGTTATATGTATATACATGAACTATAGTATTAATACCTTCACGTTATGCTTTTGAAGTTAAATAGCTGTTTTGGAAAGACTGTCCTGTATCCTTCTTTCCAAAGACCAATGAGAAAACAGCACAGGTAATTCTAAAAGGATAAAGCACTCAAAATTGCCAGACATTCACAGTTGTATAGACCTGATGCCGCATGCCTTAGGACTGAACAGAATAGCGGCTTTATGAATGGGATTTGTCTCTTGGATCAATGAAGAAAATCACTCCTAACATGGGTATGTCTCTTAACGGTTCAGTCCTCTTTCTAACTCCTTCTCTAGTCATCATATTTATGCCAGGAAACACCAAAATTCAGACTGAGCCTTTGCACTACATTCCTCTGTGTCCACTTTCAGGATTCTGATAAATAGGATTCATGAAGTTCAAACTGCAAATTCTGCTGCAATCATAAATAAGAAAATTTCTATATAAAAAAAAAAAGACACATAAACTGCACCAACTGCAACAAGAGCCTTGCAGCCATGCCTCTGTTAAGTCAGGAATCAAACCAATATATTTAAAGCTGCCAATGCAGCAAACTTCGGAAATTATTGTCATTAACTTCAAACAGCATATCCACATTAGCTAGGTCAGTTCTGTTAACTGCCCGCAGATCAGTCTGTCTTCAGTTTTGATCAAATGACTATGATGGTTAATGAGCTTGGTGCATGGCGAGGATTCCTGGAACGCTGCTATCTTTACTGAGAAACTGACTGGTTTGAGTCTTACATTCCTCAACACCCTCCCTCCTCTCTACTTTTCTTTCGAAATGTAAATTATAGTTCTCATCTTTCAAAAAGTTTGAGAAAGGATGAGACAACATTCAGAAAGTATCTGAAATAAATACTAGTGTTGGCCCTATACTCTAAAAAAAAAAAAAAAAAACAAACCTCAAACCACAAAAAAACCCCAACACCGAACTAGTCGTTTGATAGTTTCTGCACATATGATGTGAACCAAAGTCTCTCTTTTAAACTTTGAAGTATCTGGAAATAATAAAGCTTGATTTTTATGTTTGGTTGGTTGGTTTTTTTTTTTTTTTTTTTTTAGTCCTGATGAGTAAGTGTCAACAAGACTCCTTTGCAGTTGGTAAATGGTGCAGAACTTTTTCAACAAAACAGAAACTGAAAGTTGGGTAAAGGTATTATGCTGCTACACAACATAGAGGACTGAGAGTGGCTTTTTTGATTCCCAGCACAAGACGTCCAGACAACACACTAACTTACTGTCATGTGTTTTTATTTCACAAAACTGATTATATTAAAGAGGATATGAAGAAGGGAACAGATATACTACACAGCATAGCCACAGGACTTTCCCTAGAGACAGACAGGAAATAATAGCTCCTTTCCAGGAGCCACCTAGAACACAAGGGGCCTTTTCCATTACTCTTTAACAGGACCACAAGTGTGGGGTGTTACAACATGCATTTCAGTTAATTATGAAACTGCTAAAATTTCATATACAAACAAACCATCTTGAAAGTGTAAATTCTGGTAATCTAACATTACCAGTTAAATAAGTAATTAAACTTTGTAACACCAATTCTTTATTCTGACTTTGTGAAAACCTTGTACTGAAACAGCAAGAGTCTACCAAAACTTAAGAGATATTTCAGAAAGTAATTATATTTCAATAAAAATAATCAACTCGCTAGGAAAAGTAATGGTTTTACTAGGCCTGCTTAAATTCTAGAACTTGAAATGAATTTGGCATTTTTTCCCCAAATATTTCTCACCGAATTATATGAACACTGATTAACCTATGGAAAAAGATACGAGTCTGGTAATGCACTTTGTGTCCTGTGACAGGGGAGAAGCTGTGCAGCTCCCAAATCAACATCCCACATGGATCTACTGAAACTACGCTGATGACAAAACTCATATTAACAGAAAGAGCAAGGAACAGAGAACACTAAAACCATGCTTTTGTTTCAGCCAACTTTACCCTGAGACCTGACGCATTATTATTTTTTTTTTAATCTATAAATTCCATTATTATTTGTGACCTTTCTCCAGGAAGTAGGGTTTTTATTATGATCTTCATAACCATTACTGTAATTGTTCAAACCCCATAGTAAGTTACAGAGAAGGCTATTATTCCCCTCTTCCATCCAGGACAGGTACGCAGACTGATTTCTCACATATCATTTTTATCAGTAAGTCTCTGTACTACACGTTGCAATTGCACTTTTGAAAAAATACCAGAAAGGCTCCATCAAGAAGAAACTATGTATGGGCTGCATAATTTAAGTATGTAAAAAACATCTTACAAATACTCCAGGTTCCATGGTTATTACTCTATCTCATGCCATATTCTAAAGACAACATGCACCTGCTCCAGTGGCCAAAGAACTAGTTTAAAAAAAAAATCTACGGGTCTTCAGTCCCAAGCCCGTCCCCACTTTTGCTAAGTCTATCTGTGACTCCCATGTTCTTTGCAAAGAAAAAAATAAAAAAGGCAACTTATGCTTCTACAACCTATGTGAAATAATGGCACAAGATGCTGTTGAAATACATTTAAGAAACACATTTCTTTTCCTACTCTTTTACGTTCCTTTGAAGATTTGTGGCAAAAGACGATCAAGCGGCAAAAAATACTATTTAGCAGGAGAAACTGCTGCATCATTTTTCCCGTGGGCCACACGGCGAGTTGCGGGTGATCCAGGATCACGAGCGCAACAACTATCACGGTCCCCACCCGCACACGCGCGGAGGGGCCCCGGCCCCAGGGAGCGGCGCCTCCCTCCCCCCCCCCAGACACACGGTCACGGACAGGCAGGCGGCGCGGGGCCCCGCGGGGAGAGCTGTGGGTGTGTCCGGGCAGGTGGGCCGAGAGCGGCGGGGCGGGCCGAGGGCCCAAGACGGGCCCCGGGGTAGAAGGCCGGGCAGGCACCGAGCCGGGGAAAGGGCCGGACGGGGAGCGGGGCCGGGGCACGGCTCACGCAGGTACCTTGCGCCCAACGGCAGAAGATGGTGTCGGCCAGCCCACGGGGCCCGGCCTTCTTGCCCCACACCAGGTGGACAAGCTCCTGGCCCGCCTCGGACATGACGGGGCGGTGGCGGCCCGGCGGCCGGGCGGGCGAGGCGGCGGCCGGCGGCGGAGGCGGCTGTGGCAGCCGCTGCCCCTGCGCAGGGGAGGGGCCGGGCCGCGCCGGGCGGGCGGGCGGGGCGCTCGCGCGCCCGGGGGGGCGGGGCCTCGCCGGGCGCCTGGAGGAGCTGCGCATGCGTGGCGGTTACTCTTCCCGCTCCCCCAGCAGGCACCGGTGCTTCCGTGGGCGCAGGAAGCGGGGTCGGGGCGGGCGGGTGAGGAACGCCGATAGCTGCTTTGTCCCGCCTCGATAGCGGTTTTGGGTTGCCCCCGAAGCTTTGTGACGAGTTGAGGGGATCGCGGTGGCGTTGGTGAGAAGGTGGTGGTGGCGGCGGCAGTGGCAGTGGAGAAGCTGGTCTTCTGAGGCTGAATGTAGAGCAGATGGTAGTCAGTGTGCATCTGACTGCTAGTCTTGCCTATGGGCTGGATCTACCAAGAGATTTCCGGAATTTGTAATAATACTAGTATAAGTATTTAGAGAGCTTCCTTTATGTATTTGTTGTATAGTGTATCGTGGAAGCACTAACCTAGCATACAGGTAACATGTAGTGCTTGCATATATACATGAATCAGTTTTACTATTTTGGAAACCCGTCTTACCTGGCAGTACCTGCATTCATACAATAGTTTGAAATAAAGAATGAAAGGTAGCAGTATGAGTTTCTTAAACTATTTAGGAGTGGTGTTAGATGGACATCCATTAACTTGAATAGATTCATATTTTGAAAATAAATTTGGCTTACCTAATTCAGTAATGATTTTTCTCCAGTAGAAATAAAGACTGGATATTCTTATAAAAGATAATTGCCATTCAAATGGGAATTCTTCATGGATGTTCTGTGATCAGTATTGTACACAAGATTAACATAGACTTTATTAAACAATTTTTCAGAAGGATAGTAACCATTACCACTGACAAAACTGGACTAAGGTTGCTCTCTTAGAAAAAAGTTTAATTCTAAAAGTTTTCTAGTTGAAACTATTGCATATGCTACTTGGAATTCTTTATGTGGTGTGCAGATGCAATTGAGCTGTAATATCGTGCCCATCTACTTCATCATATATTTGTTACTTTTATGGAGATGGAGCACATGTTGAAACTGATACATGTGCAGACTTTCTGAATTAAGTGTGAAAATAGCCAATATCAGTCTGTTTGTAAGCTTTCTGACATGTCATACCACAAACTGATCAGAAGATGGTGTTGTTGTATTTCTGATTTTTAAGCATTTTCAAATACTTGCACAATTAAGAATTTTCTGAATAATTACTGACAAGCCATCAATTTCTTCCAATATTGATTAATGGAATGGATTCTAGATTTTCATAAGTAATGCTTATAATGGACACTTTCTGATTTTTAGCATAAAGAATAACTTAGTAAGTGAAAATCATTTAATTAGAATTAAAGACATGATAACAAAATCATGTTCTGTACATACTATAATAAAGGCCATCAAGTTTTAAGATTTTGTGTGTTCTGAATCAATTGTGCAGTAAAATGCAAATTTTCTTGTAGTACTTTAATACTAGGTATAACAGGCTTGAAATTGTAAACATCCCGTGATCAGGAAGAAAGTATCAGAATAGATATATTCTAAAGTGTATTGTACATACATTTGTAATATTTGAAATATTTCAGAGAAGTATATTTACCAAAATGGTGTGATGGTGCAAGCATAAGCCAGCTACGTCAACCAAGTTCAAACCATCCCTTGATAGTCTGAAGCTTTACAAGGAGGAGGAGAGAACTGCAGGTTTTAGCCCATCTCTTCAAGCTGCTGGGCTTGTTCTGAGGAAGGAAACTTCTGTTGTCATGGGTGTTCGGAGTGCAGTCCAAAAAACAATTCTGTGAGCAAGTGGAGAATTGAGGAGATGAAGACCCTGTAAAAGAAGGATGGTGAACATACAACTGGACTGTGGTCACTGCTGTATGGAATTGGAGTTCAATGGCACCACCCAGAGGTACCAAAAGGCTGGGAAAGCTCCTCCACTTCCCTCTCTGCTGTGTTGGAACGTTTGTGCGTTGTTGAAAGGAGGTTAAGTAGAATGAGAGTGCTCTTTGGTTTCATGAGTGCAAACAGGTGTTCACACTGAGACAGATGTAAGGAAAAGTTCAGTCACAACCTTGGGAGTTGTGAGCTGGAATAGGTCCTGCAGTTTTAATGCACTCTAAATAAGTGCCGCAGGATTATTTTCTCATCATAGAGTGGAAGAATGCTCATCAGCCACACATCTGTGATTATAGACCCATAGGTGAGCTAGCAGCTAATACTCCTGTAAAGTCACAGTATCAAGTTAAATTGAATCTGTATTTCTCACCTGAGTTAGAATAACACATAGCCACATTTTGGTGTAGTTGGCAGTTTTGTTGTGTAGCAGTGGCAGTTAGGTTTAAGGCTAATGCCCTGTGTTGTGTAAAAATGGTTTAAATTTTAAAATGTCTTTCCAGCTACAGATGCTGTACACCTCTGATATTGCTGATTTTCTCCATATAATTTGAACGCTGATACGAGAAAACGTGTCTTCAGAATTACTCACTATACTGAAAAAAGCAAAGACAGTAATGAGAGACACAAGATGTAAAGCTATTTGACCCATCTTAATTTGATTGTCATACTGCACATAGAATTCAATATAGACAAATACAAATGAATGAATTTGGGAACAAGAGAGCAATTTTGGGCATATGTGCCAACCAGAACAATCTGCCATGTCCTGGTTAGGAAAAGCATTAGGAAATTATTTTGGAAATACTACTGAAATCATTAGTCTTACTAATACAAATTGGAAAAGGCAAACCATATAGTCAGCTGTAGCAAGCAACACTGAATATGAGTGAATGAGGCTGTGGATGTCATCAGTTAGGATTTTTGATCTCCTGCTGATTATCTTTTAAGTCTTGGGCATTCATAAGCTAGTGATAGTTGCACATGCATACCAAAGAAATGGACTGGAAGATATGTGTGTGAATTTATGTAGGTGGTTGGGTTGCAGCTAGCAAGTAGGAAACTAAAAAGGAGGATTAGGAGAAAAGCATACAAGAAAACTGGTATTTTAGAATTAGGATTGTACTGGGAATTCTGTTTTTTCAGGTTGTTGGTTTTGTTCACTAAGGGAGAAACTAATAGCTCAGTGAGATCTAGTATCAGGTTGACATATATACTGTATTTCAGAAACAATGTATGTAGACTGGAGTCTGAACTCTGAACAGATTGTGCAAACCAGCACACTAGTACGTGGAAATAGTATTTTCTAAAATTATGAAACAATATTGTTTAAATATTGTTTGTGTTGACTCTGGGATGTACAAACTGTACTTTAAAGTCAGGGTTTCATGGAAGATAAATAAGACGGCAGACTTCTCTGTGTATTGGGTCTTCCTTAAAATGTTTAGAGGTATGCAAATCAAGAAAGAATAAAAACCACTGCTCTACAGCATTGCTTAGATGTATCTGAGTAGTATGCATAGATTTGAACTAATTTTTCAAGTAGTTTCTATTAAATGCACAAGTGTTTTTCCTTTTTTTTTTTTTTTTAATGTTGGACTGCCATCATGTGGTTGGTTTGGTGATTTAATGTACACTTTTAATATATCTGCAAGTTTTCCTTTTTTCCTCTTAAAATACTATTCACTTATGTTTTTTTGGTTAGTTGGTTGGTTGGTTGGTTGGGTTGTTTTCCATTTTGAAATGCTGTTAATTCCCTCTGCAGAATGATTTAGTGGTTTTGTTTTTTTAGGAAAACATAGTAACTACCCTTCTCTCTTTTCTAATCTCTAATCCAAACTCACTTGGTTTAGTTTAATTCTGTTGATTCCAGTATGTAACATCTTAGAAAAGTTCTCCACTACACCAAAGCAGAAGGTAAAGAACATAAGCATATGTTCTATATGTGTGCAGCCCCATTTGGTTTACTTAATGTATTTTGTAAGGATTAAGCCTATTCAAGAAAGTTTTTGGATTAATTGAGAGTTTGTGGGTTTACTTCTACGAACTGTTGACAGACAGCAATACGAGTTACAGACATTGCACATTTTTGTGAGGCAAATCTCAATAAAGTTCATCTACACTGATATAGCTTTGTCTTACTTGTCTTTAAAAATTTATTGTCTTTAAAATGCATTTAAAAAGCTCTGTGGCTGACTTGGATTCTTCCAACTTGTTATTGGTTAAAGATAATTGTAGTAGCAGTGATGACAAAGTAGTGGGGGAGAAAGGCACTGATCCCTGTTTTTCACTTGGGTCAGCCGGTGAGACACTATATGGAAGAGACAACACAATGTCCTCCTCATCTGCTCAGTGTCCCCCTCCTGAATTGGGGTAGCCCTGCAGTGCCTGTTGCGTGTCAAAGGAAAAGGCCCTGCAGTCCAGGGAATGGGCAAAGTAAGTTGCTTTCTGCCAGCAGGAAGATGGAGAGGGAAATTGGAGCAGAAAAATGAAATTCTTCAGGTGCCAAGGGACACCTATGGCCTTGAGACTTGCATGGTTCATTTTTTCTCTCCTCAGGCCTCCTTATTTTGAGAGAAGGGTAAAACTTATATTTTGACCTGTGCATCAGCACCAGATTCTCTGAGAAGGTAGACTCCAAGTCTAGGAAACAGAAAATTCTGATGTCTCTTATTTTCTCTTTTTAAATGATGAATTAGTGCTATATCTGAAAAAGTTCTTAGAGGACTGACACCTACTGAAATTGTAGAAAAGAGAAAATGGGTAATTTTTGGGTAGATATTTGCCCTCAGAATCTGTTGGTGAGACAAAACAAGCTATTGATTGTCCTGAGTGTGTTAATGTTTGGGATTGACATCCCTGTGGAATGGGAAGGAATTTTTGGAGAATCGCAACTTTGTGTGACAGCCAATATAGCAAGTTAAAAGAGTTCTTTCATATATACCATATATATAGTATCTTAATGCTATAGACAATAGTTTAATATTAGGTAAGCTGTTTAAAACTGCTGGGTCTATAACTCTATCATTTACAGAAACACCAGTGAGTGAATCCCCCTATATTCATAATATAAGCTGCATCAGAACATAATGATTGTACTCACTGTTACATTTCATTTAAGATCTTTAAGTGTGGAAAAAAGTATGACAGAAAATGGACTACTTTAGAAACAGTCATTTATTCAGTGTCTGCAAGTTACCACGGCATTTTCACATTGTTTAAAGACATATCTTTTTTTTCCTCTCCCAAAGCATACTGAGATTCTCTATTATTTTCAGATAAAATGATCTTACAGACACAGGTAAAATTTAAACATCCGTTATCCTTATATGGTCACTCAGTGTATGGCTCACAGCAAACACCTTTAGATTATGGACTGCAATTTTTGGGGAGAAAAAGGAAAAAATTTGACATTGTAATTGGCAAGAAAAAGTCTGTAATTATTAAGACTTTTAGGAATATAATTAAGAATGTCAAGTACCAACACAGTGATGCTAATACTATATCTCTGACGTTACTAGTTACAAGTGGCTCAGACAAGTTTAGTGCGACATGAATGGCCTAATAACTTGCTGTGCAGTCACTACCCTCTGGTTATCTAGCAGTGACAATGCACAGAAGAGATAAAAAGAGATAATGCAGTTAATTTTTTAAGAGACATATAGAGTTATCGATTTTAATAATGTGAGCTACATTTCAAACTGAAAAGTTACTTGAAGCAAAAGACTGGATTATTTGATTTCAATAAAGCTGAATTTAAATACATTAATTGTATTGAAATGTTAAAAGAATTAAATGCACATAATTTAGTAAAAATTGACAGGAAAGTTCTAATTTTGCAAAAGGACTGGTTTCCTGCAGAAAATTACACCATTTAGCACAACTTTAGTTTTTATCTTGGAGAGATTGGGAAAAAGCTAGTTTCATGGGGGAAGTCTTGTTTTGAAGCAGGTGATGTGTTGGAAGAATGCAGAATGAAGAGGTTGTTAAGATTGCTGATAGGAGAAAAAAAAGATACTCGGAAAGTGATCTGTACTAAAAGGATGGGAACCTCATTCTCCAAGCATGACAATCAAAGCCATTTGCCCATCTAAATGTCTTGCTCTTTATTTTTCTTACTTTCTCAGGTTTTCTGTCTCAAATTCCTCTTTTTTGAAAAGCCTGACACAGTGGTACTCCTCTCTTCATGTTCTCATCTCTGTTTCATCTACAGCACTTATGTTTAATGACGCTTGTCTTTTATTTAATTTCCCATCCTTAACAATTGTTTTGTCTCCCTAAGGATTAATATAAATGTTACCCCTTTTTTATTCTTGGAACAATCTATTTCTTCCTGTATGACATTTTGTCCTTCATATCTGTTATGAAAATTCATTATTTCATCTCTTTTCACAGAGGTAGCTGAAAATTCCATCTACTTTCATATTGATACCCTTTCTGCAAGAGCCTGTGAGTTCCTTGGGCCCATGACACATTTGTGTCTGCAATGCATTCTGCAAAAGTATCACATACTTGTGACATTTTAAGAATACATAAGGAAGAATGCAAGGACAAGAGATTCACAGGAAGCAACCATGTTGGGAACAGTGATTTATTTGTTCAGAGGAGATGCTGGGCAGTGCTGAGAAAATCACCCATCAGTGAGAAACCTTGGGGAAAGGGACGTCATGAATAAGTTACTGTAAATTCAGAATTGTTTTGAGATGGGTCTTTTCTTTCATCAGAAGATTAATTCCTACTCCCTCTTTACAGAATATTGTCATCACACCAAAATAAATCAGAGGATTTTATACATCATTACAGCTTATATATAGCTTATTGTGTAGACCGTATATGTGTGACTCATGCACTCAGCCTTGACGTTTTGAAGACTGCAACCAGTGGTTGCTTTGGATCATTGAAATTAACTGGTTTACCAGATTTGAATAAAACTTCTTTGCCCGCTAGAGGGTACTCTAGTTCTTAGAATAGCTAGAGTAACACTAGGTTTATAAATTCAAAGAAAAAAAAATGGTCGGCACACTCCTGTGGTTAAGAAATTAAGGGTCAGGGAGCTTTGCTGATTTATAGCAGTTGAACATCTGCTTTGGAACACACAAAGTGAAAGATTTCAAATTTATGCTTTCCCACAACAACCATGAGTTGTCCCTGTTTTACATGCCGTTGTCATTTTTACTGACAACTTTTATTCTTGAACATATAAACCACTATATTCCTTTTTTTTTTTTTTTTTTTGCTTTTAAATGTCTCCATGTACAAAATTATGCTAACATTTTTTTTTGTTTCCCATTTTATTACTTTCTTTATAACAAAGTAATAAAGAGTAATAACATCTAATACCCTTTATCCAGTCATTCTAAATAGCAATTGATAGGCATCAAAGCTTCAAGAGATGATTGTGATCAAGAACTGTCTAGATGAATTAGTAACATATCCTCAATACTACATTCCTCTCTGTTAAAAACTGTATAAATGAATAGGAGCATTTCTTCAATATTACATTCCTCAGTTAAAATAGTCTATTCCTGAGATAAAATACTTTGAATGATTCATAGTCCCTATGGACTGTGGACCATATTTGCAAGTATTACAAAGAGCTTTCTTTGAAATTTTGCCATTAGATGGAAAGAAGTAAGTTTCCCTGTTTTATCCAAATGCAGTTTTCTTTGGATTTCGTGAAACTATCAATTCCAGAAAGGTCTGAGCTTAGTAAAAGATGTTTGGTTTTTTTTTTTTTTTTTTAATTTCCTTACTTCCCTTCTGTTGCTTTGAAATATACTAAATAGCGTTAGGTGTTACATGCTTTTAGAAAAATATATGAACTCCTGAAAAGTAAGGCTGAGAAGAATACTGCTCATTCAGCACAACAGTGCGACTGCTGCTACCACTACTGTTAAGAAAAAAACAGCACATAAATCTAGAGTATTATGGCAACTCTCATCTTAAGATGGTTGGCTGTGGAAAACAGAGGAGACAGTCTGATATTCAAGCATCTTGTTGAGTCACTGGAAATGGTTGACATTGAAATGCTTGATATTAAATTGTATGAAAAGGGTAGTGTCAGAGCCTGTTCTGCAGTTTAACGTGTGGTACGTCCTTGCATAGTGTTCTACAAAACTTAGCATTACGTGAAACATGTATGTATGAGTTTCAAAATCCATTTGTCTCTACTATAACACCTCTTTTCTTTGTTTAATGCAGTTAGCATTAGTATACTTTCAGCGACATCACCTATGTCCAGAGAAGTCCTAGGGCAACATTCCTCTTATTTGATAGCTTCATTCTGGACCAGTACAACTGAAAGCAAAGCTAAAGAGCTTGTCAGGAGCTGAGAATGTAAGTTTGTGCTACAATGAATCACGTGACGACAGAGGAACATTTTTGGATTGGTACCTTTTTCACATGGCATTGAAAAGAAAAATTGATGTGCAGTTTAATGTGGCAAAGATTTCAACAAGCTTTGTGTATTCCAGTGAAGAAATCTCTTCCTTTCAGGCAATTAGTGATGAGGATGTATACCCTAAATCTTGCACCTCTGAGCTTCCATGGTTGTTGCGTTTACATGAAAAGTTGCTACACTGTCAGAGCAAATGAAAATCCTGACTCCTTTTTTTGAATTCCAGAGGGTGCCATGTTTGCAATGAGCAGAACTCTTGGGGACATAGAAGTTTCCCCATAAAATTTCAGAAGAAAATGCAATGCCAGCAAGGAACTGGTTACAGCTTCCCAGATTTCTGGATTATTTATTTTTTTCTAGTTTGCATCAGTTGGAAACAGTTACTGAGCAACTGGTTCTGGTGTACTCTGGCCACCCCTCGTCTGTGATAAGCTTTCTTTAGGTTACCTATATATCCTGTGTGCCATGTGATCTGGGAGGGATATCTGCATTCCGTTCTGTGATGAGATGACTAGCTGAGCAGATAAGATGAGCAGTGGGAGAGCAGTGGATGTTGTGCACCTTGAATTTAGCAAGGTCTTTAATAGTCTACCTAGTGTTCTTACAGTCGAACTGTGAGCTGCGGACTGGATAAATAGACAGGAAAGTGGGTGGAAAATTATCTCAACCATTAAGATCTAACGGTGGTGTTCACTGGTACGAAGCTCACCTGGCAACTGATTATGAGTGGCATGCCTCAGAGTTTGATGTCAACCATGCTTGTCTTCAGTAACAACGTGGATGACTGGATAGAGTGCATTCTTTGCAAGTTTGCACATTCTATGAATTGGGAAGGGTGGGCAGTACACTGGAAGACAGGGCTGATGTTTGAGGGACTTTGTCAGACTCCAGAAATGGGCTGTCAGGAACCTCGTGAAATTCACCAAAGGCAAATGCAAAGTCTGGCATCTGGGGTGGAATAAACCCATGCAACAGCACCCAGCAGCACTGACTGCCTAGGAAGCAGCTTTTTAGAAAATGGCTCAAGGTCCCTGTGGGCAGTGAGTTGCACATGAGTCATCTGTGTGCTGTTGTGGCAAGGAAGACCAGCTGCATCTTGGGCTATGTTAGGAGGAGGATAGCCAGCAGGTGGAGGAAAGTGATGTTTCTTTCCCTCTATATGGCAGCTGTGGGATGACCACTGGAATGATGTGTCCAGTTTTGGGCTCCCCTGCACAGAAGATACATTGACATAGTGAAGCAAGTGCATTAGAGGGCCATTGAGATGCTTAGGGGGCTGGAGCACGTGATGTACAAGGAGAGGCTGTGAGATGTGTTTGTTCTGTCATACGAAGAGAAGGCTAATGCAATGGTGGGAATCTTATTGCTGTATATGACTACCTAACAGGAGGATGTTGGGAAGTCAGAGCTAGATTCTTCTCAGAGGAACACCTTGGAAGGACAAGAGGCTGTGACCAGAAGTTAGAACATGGGAAACTCCATCCCAGTGCAAGGGGAAAATATTTTGCCCTGAGAATGGTCAAATGCTGGAACAGGTTGCCTGGGTGATTTGTGGAATCTCCATCCATGGAGATACTTGAAAGTCAACTGGCCACTGCCTTCAGCAGCTGGATCTAAATGGACTTACATTGAGTAGGGTGTTGGTGTAAATGTTCTCCAGTGGTTCCTTCCAACTGACATGATTCTGTCTAATGGATTCGTTGCATGACAGTCATTGAATGCGTATGGGCTAATGCCAGTAAGAGAGATCTATTCCTCTTTATTCATATTTTAAAAATAGGAAGTAACAGGTCAATGAAGTTTCATTTTGCAGGGGACAATGTAAAGATGAAACAACTAAAGTTAAAGAAGAAGAAATGAGTTATGAATTTTCATTTGTATAGTATGTTACTTGAGTCTTAGAAGTGCATGAACAGTATTATATTTATTCCACCTTCTCTGTATCTTCTTGATTTGGTATCTTCTCTCATAACAACTTCCTAGAAATTTCATTCACTTTCTTGTTGCAGATAATCACATCATGTAATTGTTTGCATACATCGTTGGTGAACCATCTGAAACCTAGACTTTTTGCTCCTCTCAGTCTAATTGGAGGGATTTTCTGTAACTGATTCTCAGGCTAATTGTATTGATGATGATGATGGTTCTGTGTATTCCTACTGCTGAGAGAAGTTTACTAGTATTTTTTAAAGGCTCATATTCAGTGGAGAGGTGAAATCATTTTACTGAAGCTAAACTGTCTTGAATCTGCAACCGTGCACAGAGGTAGTATAAGCTATATATTGAGTGCTTTGATTCACAGCTTAGCAGTTTTCTACTTGAATTGAAGTCTCTTGGTGCCTTCCCACCCTATTACTAGCTAGAAAATTAACAGGCTTTGAGATTTTCCCCTCTGACAGTCCAGTATTTGAAAGCTTAAAAATAAAAGTTTGTGTGTAGGTAGTAATCAGTTACAGGTTTGCCTTTGTTCCCTTGGGCTAATGCTCCAGAGAGGAAAAGCAACAAGACAAAAACAGTGTGCAATGTATACTCAAGTCTAAAGCCTGATTGCAGATAGGTTGACTGTTGCACACTGGTAATTAATCTGTTTCTAGCCTTTCTTGGTTTTCTCTTTTGTAATGTTCTTTTTACCCCAAAAGTTATATATTTCCTGTATCAATTTTATTCAGAAATAAATGGTAGTTATAGAGACATTATAGCTTCACTATGGAATTAAATACACAGACAGTTCTGGGTGAAGATGTATAAATCATAACAGTGTACTCCATCAACTTCCATTTTTATACCCATAAGATGAAGCATTAAGTATAGTTTTTACCTTGTAAAATGAAGAAAGTGAAACAATAAGAATTTATTGCACCCAATAAACAAACGGAAAGAAAGGGAATAGAATTTAAGAAATAATGTGCTAACTCAAAACAATCCAGAGATGAATATTAAATATATACACTATATATCTAAAGCCATTCAGTGTAATAAATAACATGGAAAAAACATTGTAAATCATAGGACCTAGTTTAGTTTTTGCACTTTGTTGTTTTATGTAAGATCAACCAGGCTTTAAAGGAAGCTACAGAGTATTTTTTCACAATGCACTCCTTTGAACTGGGTTTGTGTAGGTAAAGACTATAAAATAATAATGTGCCAAATGTTTCCCACGTTACTAGAAGTTATAGTTACCTTGCTGTTTGCCTATAGGTCTTGCTATAGCTGGGT